TTTCAAAAGTTGGTTATTTCAAACATTTAAAAACCTTCTTACGCCACTGCCACTGCCACAATTTCAGATTGTTTCAAATATTCCATCACATCTCCTCTTCTAGATCATTTAATTAATGAATTAGAAGATAGATTTGATGAAGGTGAGACAAAGTTTTATCTGGTATTCCTGCAACTGTTGTAAAAAAAAAATAAAGAAAGAAAAATGTTTTTGGAAGTTAGATTTTATGGAATTTTTGCATTTTTATATATTGCATATGCCTCATCCTACATCAATTCATGCTGAGTTAGATTTGTGGGAAACATTTTGGAACAATCAATCTGTGATCCCACTATTACAGGGACTTTAAAGTCTATTGATATGAGGGGTTTCCCAAACATTAGGGAAGGTTTTTTAATAGTGGGAATCTTTAATACATCAAAATATCTTAAAAAATACAAATTGTCCCCGCATAAAGTTCATGCGTATTAAGAGAAATAAAACAAATCGTAAACTCACTGCTATGGTAAACAAAACAGTTAACTCCCAGGTAGCAGCCCTCCGTGATGAGCTCACAAAACAAATAGTCTCACTCACCGCAAGAGTCGTAGCCGCTGAACGTCAGATAGACAACCAGAAGACCAAACTAGCAAATATGAACTCCATCATAAACACCCAGGACTTAACAATCGCAAACTTGAAAACCATCATTACACAACACGGCACCAACATACAAGCAGATAGAACACCAACAGTCACCATGTGGAACCAGGTTGTTAGCAAGAACTCTAAATCTCCTAAAAAAGACCAACAACAAATCAACATGATAGGTACCATTGCCAAAAAATCAAAAGAACGCGAAACCCGATTGAAGAATATCGTCGTTTATGGAATAAACAAATCAACTTCATCCGGCCAGAACGACCAAAAGCAACACGATGAAACTGAAATTGACAAAGTACTTGACCTTATCGGTGCTGACAAAGATACCTTACTTTTTTCCGCCTTACGCCTTGCGACTCTGCGGGCAACCCAATCAAAACTGGACCGCTAGTCATCACACTTTCTAATGAAAGCGATCGCAACCATATTCTAAAACTGTCCAGCTCGTATTTTCGAGTTCCAGCGAATCGAGCGAACTATACCACACTCTTCGTCAACTCTGCCCTAACGGCAGTCGAAAAGAACTTAGCATGGCAACTACTAACTGAATGCAAAAAAAAAATTGCATCTCTACCTGCAAAATAAACAACATTGTTTGTAATACGAGGCAACAAAATCAAAGAAATTACCAAAACCAGATAGCCACTAATCAACCAACGTCTCCAACTGACCACACCAATAAACAACCTAGCACTCAACTGCAAATCATCTTTTACTACCCAATACACTCCTGTATCCAACTCAACAAATGATAAATGGCTGACGAACTCAACATTAAACAACCACAATAGACAACTTACAGTGTTTATATTAAGCCAAAAATCTCTTCCGATAAGCCAAAAACCAAAATTACAACAAGCAACACAACCAAAAGCAAAGAAACCAGAACAACTCATCTACATAACCCTTGCTCACTTAATGGCCATAAAATTGACGGAATTAGAGCCAAAATTACCTCAATAGACACTTTACTTTAAGCCGAAACTTGGTTCACCGACAACTCCGACACAAAATAGCTGGTACCAGCTGTTTAAAAAAAATTAGAATCGGAAGAGGAAGAGTGGCCATCTACACAAAGGAAAGCCTCGATTGTTCTTTCACCAAAATTGACCAACTCAACCGCACCACGATTGAGCAAGTCTGGATCAAATTAAAATTTCATAACGAAACAATTTTAATAGGCTGTCTCTACCGTCCTCACGACCTGAACGACTTAACGCTCGATGAAATAATAAGCTCAATTAGTACTGCCTCTTACAAATGCAACTCAATTGGCTGCTCAACCTTACTTACGTACGACGACTTTAACTTCAGTAACACTGTGTATTCAAATGTTAACGTAGGAGGTAACATTGCGACTGTTGCATACGTACAAAACGATTGGCCAACAGATAGCAAATTTCAAGACTGTCTTGAAGAAAATCATTTGACCGAGCTAATAACTTTTCCAACATATCGTATTACTTGTGAGGAACCTCCAAAAAATACTCTTGACTTGATCCTGACTAACAAACCAGACCGAATAATGAACATAAAAGAAGCTAGTCCTCTCGGCCACACAGCCAAAGGTCAGGCACACTGTCTTATTGAGTATAGCTCTCATCGGTTTAAAAACTAAAGAACCCAAAATAACAGATTCCTCTAATGTCTACAAGAAGCGTTTGATCTGGAGCAAAACCGACTACAACTTAATCTCTACGCATATCGAAACATTCGACTGGCATTCGGCTTTCGACGGCTTGAACATTTCCGAAAAATATCAAATATTTATCAACAAATTCAACAAAGCAACCTCATTACACGTCCCATCAACAACCACCCCTTATACTAACAAACACAAAATATGGGTGACCAAAGATGTTGCAAATGGTATCAAATTGAAAAGCGAACTCTGGGGCAAATTTATCACAGCCAGCCGAACAAACAAGCCAAACCTACGCGGTAAAAAAATTAGCGTCTATACCAACATTCAACACTCGTTCCACTAGCATAAACCAACCGACCACACTCGCATCATACGAATCCGTCAAAGAAAAACTTTTGGACCTGAATAAATCCAAATCAATGGGCTTCGATGGTATTCATCCACGCGTCCTGAAATACTGTGCTGCAGGTTTTGCTATCCCACTGAGCATTATCTTCTCTGAATCGCTTAAAGATGGAGAAGTACCGTCTCAATGGAAAAAAGCCGAAATTACTCCTATTTTTAAAAACGGCTGCAAGTTGAACCCCTCAAACTATCGACCTATCTCACGCACTTCTGTCCCTTGCAAGGTAATGGAAAGCTTTTTACACAAATTCATTACTGACCACTTAAACAAAAATAAACTCATCAGCTCTGCTCAACACGGGTTCCGAAAAGGAAAAGGTTGCGTCACATACCTACTCGAAACTTGCAACATCCTGACTGAAGCTGCCCATAAAGGTTAAAAAACCGAAATCATATTCACAGACTTTGATAAAGTCTGTGAATATGATATTGGTTGGGTAACCTTTTGTTTTAGTTTTATAACCTAAAAATTTTTAGCTTATAAATCCAAACTAATTTTTTTTACAAAAAATGGATAAAACTATTTAAATCTGGTTTGCTGTCAAATGTGCATTTTACAATTGTTTTATAATAATTTTAATAGGATTTAATATGTTGATATAAGTTTTATACTTTGGTGAGAAATAAGTTAAAAAATCGTTTTCAAAATCGAGATTTACTTGGAAAATTTTCCAAAAATTAATAAACGTCCCACCCCCTCCCTTTAATTAGGGACTCGAGAATACATGTGAATGAGGAGCATTTCTGTTATACGCAGAGTGAAAACTTATTTGCGAAGCCGCATGACAGAGTTGAGGTTTAATTCTTTAGCTCTGATGTCTATTCATCAAGAAATAAATCCTGATGTAGAAAGAGTTTTAATTACTTTTTTTGTTTTAGGGGAACGACGCTTATAGGCTGTTCACACAAGAGTACATTTGATCGAACATTCCTGGAACATGGAACATGAACAAATATCCTCTCGTGTTAACGCAAATGGAACAAAAATTCAAAGAACATTTGAGGAACTTTTGTACCGTCCCGCCAACCCAGAACAAATAAATGTTCCGGAACATTTATTTGGAACATTCCTGGAACATTCCGTGGAACATGGAACATGAACAAATATCCTCTCGTGTTAACGCAAATGGAACAAAAATTCAAAGAACATTTGAGGAACTTTTGTACCGTCCCGCCAACCCAGAACAAATAAATGTTCCGGAACATTTATTTGGTTTTGTATAAAAAATGGTGCCTATTTTCAACTATTTTTAAAATAAGCGTATGCATATAAGCTAAATGATTCGATAAAAATGCATTGCAAAATGCAAATTTATTGTGAAAGTAACTCAAACTATTTTTTTTTACAAAGTTGTTGTCATCTTAACCAGAGTTTTTAGTCCTTGATCTCTGCATTGTCCTAGGTCTTGGTCATATATCAAGACAAGATTATCGATATACTATTTGCCTTTTAACATGTTGCCTTGAAACTTTTAGTTTTTGCCTTCCATCTTTTTTATTGAATTCAAAATATTTCTTCGAATATAATTTCATATCTTTATTCATTGAGTAAAAACTTGTGGTAATTTCATGCAACCAAAGAAATTCCGATCCCACTCGTGTGGGATCAATCACGAGTAGACCAGATGGTGGGCAATTATTTAAAAACAATTATTTGACCATCACAAATTTCAAGTTATTTTTAACGATATTTAAAATTTGTATAAATAGAATAGAAATTTAATTATTAGTGTATTATTAATTTAAAAAGAAGTCATATATGTGTGTTTAAAAATGTAATCTTAAAATATAACATTACAAAGACAGTATTATTCTTATTAAGATCAGTTTTAATTTGAATTAACAAGAAGTATAATTCAAGGCAACATTTAACTTGCGTTAAGAAAGTTTAATTTTCATTGTTTAATAGTTTTTATTTAATTATATTCATTGCAAGCATTGCTATTAATGCATTTTTAATAAACTTATAGTAATTTTATTTATAAAATTTAACTTTGAACTAATAAGCAGAGTTGTTTATCATTGGCCTTGCCAACAGTGATAATAATAATAAAAATAATAATTATTATTATAATAATTATAATAATAGAATAATAATAGTAATAACAATAAGAACAATAACAATTGTTAATATTATTATCATTATTATCATCATTGTTATTATTATTTATATTAATATTATTAATGATATTATTGTTGGTATATATTGTTATATATGGGCTTTGTCATATATTTTATTTATATGTCATATATATTTTATTATATTAGCTTTGTCTTATCTTGTTATTTTAATTTGTGAACATTACCATAAGTATTTTCCTCATAAATATTCTGTATTTACTTAATATTAGTTAATTTACTGTTTGTGAATAATCGTGAAAGTAAGGCCTTTATTCAGAATATATATTATTGATTGACTGTATTGATATGACTGTACCTAATATCTTTGCCACAATGTACTACAATTATTGACATTTAAAAATAAAAATAAACAATAGTGTTGAAAGATCAATGTTATTAAATAACATAATTATCACATTGCATGGAAAAGTAAAAAAAAAGTAAAAGTGGCATCTGAAAGTTTCTGTTCTCTTGGCTACCAGTTTTTGGCAATTTATTAAGTTATTTAGTAAGCCCATAACATTATTAAATTATTTTAAGCCCATAATATTTATAGCAATTATGAAGTTTGCCCTTTAATTTTATTATTAACTGTTTCTCTTTTTTTTGTTGTTGTTGTTGTTATTGTTGCAAGATTCAATGTACTTATCCTTTTTACTAGATAAAACTTTAATTTTACACAATGACTTAGCATTCAGAAAAAGAGTGTATTGACGCAAGCACAGCAAATATTGGTCTTTGCACATCTCCTTTAAATAAATTTGTATGGAATATGGCTAACACAAGAGTATTATTAGATTTATGGAAAGATAATTACAAAGCATAAACATCTGCAAGAAGAAACACAAATATTTACAAACTAATGGTAGCTGAATTTTCAAACACATTTAATATCATACCTCCGTTAACTGTATATCAAATTCAATCTAAAATTAGTAATTTGAGGAAGCAATTTAGGTATGTACATATTCTACATTTAATGTTTGATACCTTACTGAAATACTGAAAGTGTTTTACAAAACTAACCATGTGTAATAATATCTAATTGCAATTTAGTTTGTAACTGAGTGTTATATTAAAAATTACTTAAATCTTATTCAGTATTAAAGATTTACAGCTCGTTGATGATTATTTTGTTAATAATTCGTTATTTTATTATTCGTTAATAATTCTTTAATTTTGTTAATAATTATTTCGTTAATAATAATTTGTCCATTTAAAGTTATTTGATTAATGTTATACGGTGTTAATGATGTGCTTATATTTACTTATATTTATGTATATTTTTCATAGACGAGAAAAACTTCAAGTTGGTTCATTGGGAGGAGCTTTTAGTAAATGGTGGTCTTACGATATTGTTGCCAAAAAAAACGATATTGTTCCAGGTGGTGAAGCTTCCCTCGACAATGACCTTTTATCTCAAAGTCAAAACTTTTCTACTCAGGATTTTCAAGATGGTCAGGTAAGTTTAGTATAATTTATTGTTGTATATTTTAAAGTGCTATATATTTTTTAAAGTAATATAAACAAGCATGTTAACTATTTCTACAAAATAAGGTTTATAAGGTTCTTAGTTTTGCAACATTTGGGAGACTTAAAACATAAAGAGCAAAAACATAGAATATAAAGTTTTTGAATTATAAAAGGGATCTTTTAATATTGGCTAGATCAATTTGTAAAATGCTATTGTCTAAATAGATCCTTTTTGTTTAGGGAAGGAAGGGAGTAAAATGACTTCAAATCAAGTCTTTCAAAGTCAAGAGATAAATTTTGATTGAAACATGATTTATAATCATTTCTCAAATGTGTAATTTTTTTAATGTGTATATTTTATTTACAGATTGCCACAATGGAAGATAGCAAAGAGACTGTCAGTATTTTAAATATTGAAGCTTTGGATGATACAAGTGATGTGCAATCAATTGTCACTATTCCTGATGAGGAACCAACTCAATCTACATCTGGCTGCAATAAACAAAGGAACTCTGATGATGAAAAAACTTTGAATAAAATAGCAAAAACTGAACCGGTGAGAAAAAATAAAAAAAAAAATTTTTCTTCTGAATATTTAAAAATAGCATATAAAAATCTAGATGTTCAAATCCGTTCACAAGAGCTACGAATCAGAGAGGTTGTTGCTTTAGAGCGTATTTGCGATGCAATTGAAAATGCATCTAAAGCCCAAGTAGATGTTTCTAAAGCCCAAGTAGAATATTATAAATTTTTAATAAAAAAATAAGGTGTTCTATTAGCCAAGATATCTTTTTAGTAATTATGTTAAAGTTGAAAGGTCAGTATTTTTTCAACAGTATACCTTGTTTACAATTCTATGCAATATATATTTCATAAGGTTTCTCAATGTTTTAACTAAAGAGATGGTTAGTGAAATATTGTACAAGCTTGTAGATGAAGCTGTATTTATATATATTTTTTCATGTTACCATATTACTATTATCAAAGAAATTTTTACTTTATTTTTTTTTCAGCCAATCGTTATCGCAATAATTTAGACCTTCCTATATTTATGAACGGAAATGTACTCAATGAGTCTCCTACCCTTCATCTTCTAGGATTAACTCTTCTGATCTTTCTTGAAAACCTTATATCAAATTTGTTGCAAAATTAGCATCTGCTAAAGTCGCTTCTCTTTATCGAGCTCGTCACTTTCTTACTCTAGATTCTATTCTCTATCTCTATAAATCTCAAATCCGGCCTTGTATGAAATACTGTTGCCATATCTGGGGTGGATCTTCTAATGATGCCCTTTCTCTTTTAGACAAAGTGCAAAAAAGCATTGTAAACATAGTTGGACCTACTCTTGCAGCCAACCTTCAACCTCTGTCACATCGTCGTAATGTTGCTTCTCTTTCTCTTTTCTACAAATACTATAATGGGCACTGCTCTAAAGAGCTAGCGTCTCTTGTGCCATCTACAAAAATTCATTCTCGTGTTACTTGTCATTCAATTAAGTCTCATCCTTTTTCTGTTACTGTTGCTAAGTGCTCCAAAAACTCTTATTCGTCTAGTTTTTTTCGTTGAACATCAGTTCTTTGGAATTCGCTTCCTTCATCTTGCTTTCCTGATTCATATAATTTGCAATCTTTTAAGTCGTCTGTCAATCGTTATCTTGCTCTACAATCTTCATCTTTTCTCTTCCAGTAACTTCCAACACTAATTAGTGGTTGCTTGCAAGGCCGGCGCGATAGGGGTGTGTGTGTGGGGAGGGGGTTTTTACACCCCCCATCAATGACTTTTAGTCGGCAAATTTGACCCTTAGTCGGCAAATGTGACCCTTTTTGACTAGTTAGTCGGCAAATGTAGACCTTAAGAATTTAAAAAACGAGGACCTTTTTTTTTTTTTTTGGACGGCAAAAGTTGTAATGGCACCTCCCCCACGTGACTCCTACTCGCGCCGGCCCTGGTTGCTTGCAGCCTTGTTGGAAGCGAATATGTTGAAAAAAAAAAAAAAAAAAAGTAAAATAAAAATATTTTGTGATTTCAAGCATTAAAATGCATATCTGGTGGTATTTTTTAAATTTGACATGTTATTTTATAAGTACCTTTTTTTGCATCTCTATGCTATATATATTTAGTATTTTTATAAAAATACTAAATATATATAGCATAGAGATGCAAAAAAAGCATACTAAATATATATAGCATAGAGATGCAAAAAAAATTATATTAAATAAATATAATACTTATTATACTACAATTCAAGGGAAATTAAAACACATTTTTAAAAACCATTTTGTTAGAATTGATACAGCATGATCTATTAACAAAAACAAAAATGAAACATGTAATGCAATTTGTATAAATTAAAAACAAAACACGTTGGCAAAAAACATATCACTATAATTTATCTACAGGCTTGCTTCATATCGCAAAAAAAAAACTATTTGGTAAATTTACCAAATAGTTTTTTTTTGATCTTTGGTAAATTTAAAAAATTTAAAAAAACTGTTTGGTAAATTTACCAAATAGTTTTTTTTTGAGATATGAAGCAAGCTTGTAGATAAATTATAGTGATATGTTTTTTGCCAACGTGTTTTGTTTTTAATTTATACAAATTGCATTACATGTTTCATTTTTGTTTTTGTTAACAGATCATGCTGTATCAATTCTAACAAAATGGTTTTTAAAAATGTGTTTTAATTTCCCTTGAATTGTAGTATAATAAGTATTATATTTATTTAATATATTTATACAGTTTTAATAGCTTTTTAGGGAGACATCTGTAAAGGAAAAAGCTATTGGAAAAATATGGAAAGCGTTTTGTATGTACTTCGATCAAGAAGTAGAACATTAATCAATGATGAATCAATCACCCACCCATCTTCATATTTAGATTTAGCTTCCTTTAAGTTAAATCAACAAGGGTATCTGATTGAAAGAAAAGTTTAGGTTAGGCCAAAAAGTTCTCAATGGTTTAATGAGATTTTTACTCAAATGGAGGAATGTGAATTTAAAGAGCATTTTCGAGTAAATAATCGTAACACATTAATTTCCTAGTTAATGGATTGCATCCACATTTAGGCAAAACTACCACAACTATGCGAGTACCTATTTCAGTAGTAAAACGTGTTGCAGTTGGATTACATTATTTAGCTTCATGTGAAGAGTATCGTGTTGTGTCTAGCCTTTTTGGCATAGGAAAGTCAACAGTAAATTTAATTGTTCATGAATTTATTAATGCTGTTAATGACATTTTGCTCCCTAAATATGTTAAATTTCCATTGTCAGTGGAAAATTTAAATAAACATAGTAGAGATTTCAAAGCTATTCTTGGTTTTCCACAATGCGTTGGAGCTGTTGATGGATGCCACATCCCTATTTCAACCCCTAAAGATCAAGCAATTTCTTATTATAATTATAAAAGGTGGTATTCCATTGTACTTTTTGCCGTTGTAGACTGTCGATACCGTTTCATTTATACAAGTGTTGGATCGCCTGGTAGAAATAATGACAGCTATATTTTGCAGAATTCTTCTTTGAAAGCAATTTTAGAATCAAATCTATTTGATAAATGTTGTAAAGAGCTGGGCGATTCTCTTGTTCCGCTATGTTTCATAGGTGATTCAGCATTTCCTTTAACGCGTCATTTGTTAAAACCTTATCCTGAAAATTTGGAGCTTAGTGAAATTCAATAAAATACTTTGCGGAGCTAGAAGAGTAGTTGAGAATGCTTTTGGGCGCGTTAAAGCTCGATTCCGTGTAATTTTAAAATTGTAACCTTTTGTATGGCGGGTAGTTTGGGTTGGGTTTCTATTGTCTAACTCTGAGCTAGCTGAACCCTCAGCTTTATTTGCATTTAGTTTTACCTCTCATAAATTAATAAATATTAAAAATTAATAAATTATATTAACAATGTGTATTTGCCAAACTGTTTTTCACTAATTTTTATTCGAGTTTTACTTACCGTTTTTTTACTCGTTTTTTCTTTTATGTACCGTCAAGCCAATTTTACATGTGAACGCTACAAGTAACATTTTGTGGAACATTTTGTTCCAGGAACATTTGTTCCGGAATAATGTTCCGCCGAACATCGCTAGTGTAAACATGGTATTAGAGTTGGTTTTTACATAATGTTAATTTATTAAATTCTTTTTTAATTATTGACTATATTCGTGTATTTTTTTTTATTTATATTTAAGTTTATCTTTTATTTAGTAAAAATTGGAAAAGCCAACATAAAAATTAAAAAAAAAAATTTGGCCTAACTACCTATCAAAAAAAAAAAAAGAATCCAGAAATCGAGGACTAACCTAAGATAACAATTTTAATACTTTAAATTAACTACCTATCAAGAAAAGGAAAGATTCCAGAAATGGAGGACTAACCTTACGCCACGTGGCAGTTTACAGATGGAGTGCAAAGTCCTATAGCTTACCTTCTCGTTGGTGCACTTCGTCAAATAAGTTAAACAAGTAAAAAATGTCTAATTTATGAGCAGAATAGCAAAGGCTATATTTTTATTAGTTTTGTTTTAACTGGGTTATTGAGAACAATGTAAGTATTAAGTATAATACACACGAGTCCGTCACTTCTGTTACTCAGCTTTAATATAATTTTGCTAAAGAAATAAATAATCTATTTTTCTAGGGTTTTTCTTAATTCGTTTTAGCTGTTGTTTCTCTAGTATATTATCGTTGTTGTTTCTCAAATATAGTTTAATAAACGCTCGTTTATTCCCTAAACATTGTGAGGAAACATTGAAGTTAAAAAATAGTTTTTCTGACTCGGGGCAGAAAGAACACTTATCGATTATAATCTATTGTCAAAATATGCTATAATCAAATATGCTGTATTTTAATATATATATATATATATATATATATATATATATATATATATATATATATATATATATATATATATATATATATATATATATATATATATATATATATATACAATGAAAAATGTCAAGCAAAATAACAACTTCAAAAAAAGTTTTTATTTCTAAAAAGATTTGTAACAAAATATTACAAATTATAGTTAACATTAGAGGCCTTTCAATTTTTCATCAGTAATGTTAGTTTAAGTGCTGTTATGCAAAAAAAAAATTTATTTGTGTTACAAAAGTATATTTTTTAATCAATTAATGCTGCTATTAGTTGTAATTGTAATATGTTTTTTAAAACAGGAAGTGTTAGTTAAAAGTATCATGGTTTTGTTTATGTAAATGACTTTCATACGACAATAAATTTTTATCATTTTTAAGTTCTAGAATAACAAAAAGCTGGAAAGACTGTTCCAATATTTTAATATTTAAACGTTGGCAATCATAGTTATGGTTGTCAAATCTGTTAGTTGAATGACCGGTTCTGCAACTTTATATTCCGGCTGTTACAAATAATGTGACTTTTAATGTTCCAGATAGTACCATTGGATGTTATAAAATTTTTTACCTCTTGCAGGTAAAATAGACAAACTTTGCAACGACTATCATTACATTTAAAAATTCCTATATTTTTATTGTTAGATGGTACGGAATTAAATTTAGAAGTAAGTATATATATATATATATATATATATATATATATATATATATATATATATATATATATATATATATATATATATATATATATATATATATATATATATATATATATATATATATATATATATATATATATATATATATATATATATATATGTATATATATATATATATATGTATATATGTATATATATATATATGTAAATATATATATATATATATATATATATATATATATATATATATATATATATGTATATATATATATATATATATATGTATATATATATATATATATATATATATATATATATATATATATATATATATATATATATATATCACCCGTCCAAATGAGAGGAAAAATGATATTTCAAAAAAAAAGTTTCTTCCTTTAATAAAATTCAAATGTGTATCTGTATTTAAAGTTTGATAAAAAAAATCATCGTTCAAAAGTTAAAGCTATTTAAAGTTTAGAGTCCCCTCAAAAC